CCCAAAACCCCAAAACCCCAATTTGGAGAGTTCAACTAAAAAATTAAAGAAATTAAATTTATTATGTAATGTTTATCAAATTGCTAATTCTTTGGATAATTTCGAGGTTTTAAGTTCTTGCATAAGGTCATTTTCTTCCCTTAGGATTTGAGCCAATCTTGCTGGTCTATCTGACATTATTCCCATAATATTGGAATGTCTAATAATTCTTCTTATCTCATCATCATCATTTAAAACCCAGTAATTAGTAAAGACACCTCTTTGGTTAAGATGCTTAATCATAGGCTCGCAAAAGTAGTTGAAAATCATAGTTGCTAAGATATATGGGTACAATTTCCATGTTATGGTCTTTGCCTCTATAATTTTCATGTTTAGATAATCTCTTGTCATATATGGAAAAGAAGCAGAGTCTTCTTAAATATGAACGAATGGAAGCAGACCCAAAAAGTAAAAAGTCATATATTTGACTGCATTTTCGCCTGGAATAAATAAAGGAATCTCTTAATCAAGTTTATGAAGTTAGGTTGATTGAGAAAGATTTTACGTTCCGATAATAGTTGTATCTTGTCTTCCGTGTTTTTTTATCAAGTCTATCGTTTTTTACAAAGCTTCTTGATTGTACTAGTCTTTGATTTCTATTTATACCACTACATCCTTTGGTACAGTCAATAAAAGATTCTCGAGGGTTGTGAACTATCTATTATGATGAGGCTTGAGTTAAAACTTTTCGCTCCTTGAAAAGTGTATACCTAGCTTATCCTAAATCAAAGGCATTTCATCAAGATTTGTATCACAAACTTTATCACTCTTGTTGCTCATTCTGTAGAAATCTACATCATGAAAAGTAACTAATTAACCATCTTTAGTCAATCTCACATCAGTTTCTAAAACATGAACTCCCAATTCAACCTATAGTTACAGAATATAAAGAGTAATAAATTTGCTTACAGAATGCTAGAATGCTTGCAAAGTATTTTCTGGATTTTCACATGAACCTCCTCTGTGGGCAATAAGATACTTAGTCTGACCTTCTTTCAACTAGGGAAGCCTTAGTTTTTCTTTTTTGCGGTGAAGAATTTCAGGATGCTTTAAGAAATAATATGATGTGCCTGAGTAAGCAGCAAGACTTAGAATTAATCCTCTTTTCATTTATAATCTTTATAATAATCATATATTTCTCACATTTGAAAGCTGATGGTATGTGCGGGGTTTTGGGGTTTTGGGG